ACTGTATTAATACTACCGTGCGCAAGGACGTTAAGACGTATGTGTACACATTCTTAAGTCTTTAAAATGCTCAAAATTACTCTTTTCCTTTAAAATTCCTTTTAAAATGCTCAAAATTACTCTTAAATAGAGCATGTTTTAGCATATAATATTTTTCAATCATAACCGTGCGTGCTTCGTGAGGGTCAAAGTACGGCGGATCACCTAACTCGTCCTCAGTGACGAGTTCAAATCTAGTTATATTATTATTATTGACAATAAATGATACTGTATACTTACTTAATGCGTACTGCATACTCATTTTCTATGGATTGCCTTTCTCGTGCAAAACTACAAAACTTTTGAAGAAATTCAATCCCTTTATCTGTATGTTTCTTTATAGGTTCAAATTGATCCTGAAATAGAAGAAGCAAATTGAATGTTAAGTTTAACCCATTGAACCCTGCATTATTTACATCTTGCAGCACCCTCACCCTGAGTTATTTGGACAAAATATGTTTCTTTTTTTATTACAATCATCACAAACAACTTCTAGGCCCTGTACCCAGGGATGTCACCAGCTTTTTGGAGTGCCGGTCGGCGATCATTCCGCAATTTCCAGGGGGGGGGGGTTAGGTAAACTAATTATTTTGTTACAATATGTAAACTGTTGAAATAATAGTGGTGGTCGGGAGCCTGTAAATCCTAGTCGGAAATGTTGAGTGCTGGACGGGGCCGTCCACCGCCGAACAGCATGGTGACATCCCTGTGTACCGCTACCATAGCCGTCCATCAACCCGACGCACGACTATTATCACTACCAATGGCACTAGCACTATCGTGATCGGCTTAGCCTAGGGCTAGAAAATACACTGTTTACCTCGCTTTCATTTTCCAAATCACTTCCTGGACAATCATCATCATCAATATTTTCTTGGGAGTCATAAAGTATCAATCGTAAAGCACCGTTGGCATTTATTGTCAAATTATTCAATATAAATTTGTTTTTTAAAAAAAATCCACACGTACGAGGCTGTCAGAATGACTTCGGAATGATGATGTCACAAAATTACATCATATTACACATACTGGTCAGGTGATTACCCCGAATAATTGTCACCTGACCCGCAAAGCCGGTATACGTAAGCGCGTGGCTGTTTTTCAGGCCTTCCGGGTTGAAAGGGTTATGTGATCAGTTAATACATCAATCTGAAGAACATTATATCAAATTAATGTTAAATCCTGATTACTTTACAAGTACCGTTATGAGAAGCAGAAATGTTCCTCCTTCATGCAGTACAATAGTAAATATCCTGAATTCTGCTTTCTTAATTGGCTATAATATAATTATATTATATATGTAGCCTCATTTATGTATTACTGTATGTGGGTTGCTGACTGAAATAAATTAATGTTTTTCTAATAAACTCTACAGTATCATCCTAAAAATAGTTAGTTACTACAATAGAACACTAATGAGTACCATAACCATAAAAAAGATCTCCTAAATTATATTTATCTACTTGACTTTACAGCCTATATTATTTCAAATGTAAATATTTTGACCAGTTTACTACAGGTTTATTACCTGATATTGTTACATTTTTACCTGTTATTATATATTTCTGTTATACATTCATGATTGCACCTGTAATTCAATGTAAAATGTTTTTATAAATTACAAATAAATAAATACTGAGAATTACAGTTAATAATTTGAAGATGTTAATACATAATACACACATGATTAAAACTAAATTAAATTGGTTGCAATGATCTTCAATAGTTAAATTTTTTTCACCCGGAAAAGTCGCACCTCCTTACTTGAAGTGGCGTCACCAACTTAGCAGTACATGGTAGTAGAGCTGCAGGCTGCTTCTCGGTGGAAGCTACTGGAGCCCAGCATACTGATGCCGAGGTACCTGCGTGTACACGGTAGTAATGGCAACGCTATCTCAAAATCTGGGGTGTGTTCCCTTAATCCTCCCATTCAGTGTATATTAGGCATTTTTCGTTTTGACTACGCGGCCAGTCTACTACGAACTAATGGACCGTGACGGCAACGCCAAGACACTGTTCGCGTACTACACCAAGAGCTGTTTTCGTTTTTCTAAGGCGACTACGACCTAGGTGTCAAAAGAGTCGGGAACCGGGAGAAGAGGGGTATCAGGCCTGCTCAGGAAATTTGTCAAATGCAACGATGATGTACAAATAAATGACCATAACATTTTACAACAGAGGTAATTATATAGCAAGGCTTGATACACGACACCATGGGCGCAGATGCCCTAGCTAGCGGCACCAGATAATGTGTTTTCTCCTACCCGAAATCCACCCTCCCTGACAAGGCTAGGCTAGGCCTAAGGCTAAGAGGCCCCTTTTTTCACTATCCACTGATTTACCTAATTATATGTTGTGACTATTCCGAAATTCCTCATTTATTGTATGTATATAAATAGGCCTTCATAAAACATTTAATTACTCACTTGTTTTAATAATTAATTCATTATTGAACGAACAAATGCTCGATCGTGGATGCGATGAAAATTGCAACCCCAACAAAGCAGTTTGCCAAACAATCCGGTGATCTGATTGGTCAATATTAGGGTAGTCGCCACTACGCCAAATTCAGAAATTGGGGTAGTCACAGAAGCTGTCACAACGCCGATTTAGCCAGTAAGGTTTGTGAGCATGCGCAGATGTCTGTTACGCTCTATTAGTTCGTAGTAGACTGCCGCGTAGTCAAAACGAAAAATGCCTATTATTAGTACTTAATAGTTACACACCATGTAGAGGAAAACAAGGTCCTACACTTGAACAGCTGCCATCTAATGATGAAGCCTTTTATTAGCCCAGTACTCTACTGCCAGTTCCCACACCACTATTACAAATAGTGTGGATACTATTATCTACCATTACATAAACACTATTATAAACACTAAACATCTACAATGGCCACAGTGCATTTAACCTAAATCTGACCTTTACCATGTGAACTAAATGTAATACACTATAGTCTACTGAAGAAGAATAGTATACAAATAATAATTGGCTGTACTATTTAAATGCAAATGTATATTGTTGTGGTAGTTAGGGGACAATTCATAAACTACACTAGTTGACTGTGCAAACTTGGTGAATAATATATACCGACAGGAGAAGAAATATTAAAGATGGAGAAAACATCAACACATCTGTTATCATTGCAACTCATTAAAACAACATCATCACTGAAAAACCTAGGTCATTAAAATATTACCCTCTTTATGGTAGAAACCAATTGTTCACTTAACTTCAATTTTAGGAAGAAATCGACTGTCAGAATATACAAAACAGAATAACTCAGACATAGACCTAATAAATTTTTCATTGTTTAATCAGCTTGATATCAATTAAGGATGGCATCTACATGCTACAATAAACATTATCAACAACTTGTAATTACACACCAAATACATGTCAATGAACCACCATAAGAATCAATAAGAATATTTAGCAGTTGATAAAAATATTATTCTAAATGAATCATAGACGTGGTGTCCCTACACATGCCTCTGTAAATTGCTTTCAATAAAGTATACACAGGGAAGATATACTTGGTTACTTCCGACTGATTTGCTTTTCTATGAAACCATGGAGCCTCCATGATGAAACTAAGCAGTTGTCGAGACCTTTCGAGGTGGGTATTGGGTACTGTTTGTAACTAACTGTTTAAAACATTACAAATGTTCCTACCCGCAATTAGATTTGATAAAATGAGCATGCCATGCATTACTAAACAAATCCAACCAGCTGGTTTCTAGAGGGCGTCTCAAAACAGAATTGCATCACATTTTTATGAAATCATGTGGAATAGGACCAATGATCTATTTCCCTCGTTGATACTACAAATTATTAATATTCTATAATGAGTCACTTATCTGAAACTAAATCAATGGTACATATATTATAAATTACTCTCCATGACTCATCATCATGGTAAACATCTGTACTTCACCATTAATTAAAGAGAATTTTAGAAACACTGCCAATATTTATATATTATGCTAACTTCATACTCCATTCTATACATTTTTGTACTAATCAGTGCATTTTATTTCTTATATTATATCATAATAATAAGAAACTTTTAAATTCAGACTATAATAATATTTTATTACCATTTATCCTAGTCAACAACTGTTATTCAAAGTGCAGAGGAACGAAACTTAGCTTACTAAAATTTTTTATATAAGAACCCGTAAAATTTTGTGCAGGCTCCATGTTCTAAATTTTTTTTTGTCTTCTTATTTTTAAACACTTTTCAAATGAGAAAATTATTATTGTACAAAAATGTATTTAAGTATTACAGTACTGAACTGCATTATAGAGGTACATAACCACACCTACTGCAAATAAGGTACAGATAAGATCTGTTGGTTTTCTATTTTTAAATAAAAAACTACTTTGACATTTTTCCTCAATCTCAATTTGTTCTAATTTTGTTTTAAAGCAATTTCAGCCTCAGTGTTCTTATAAAATGTGTTCTTACAAAAAAAGTATAATGGCCCTCTACACGAGACTGAATTATTATTAATATTTTTATTTCTCCTTTAATCTTTGAGTGCAATGGGACACCATTTATGTATGTGCATTTTTAAAGGAAGTGTACTTACATCCATAATTGGTATCAACACATATTAACTGTAAGTTTACACTACCATGACACATTATGTTTATTCTTAGGCATAGATTGATATACAATACATTAATCATTTGAAGAAGCTACTGGCAATCATAAAAGCTTGTGGAATAAAATGCCATATTAGTCCTAGAATATTGTTCTTATATTGTTAGTGTATTGTTATAGCATTATCAAGTTGTTGTTAATAAATATAAGAGCATTAATTAATCAATAATGGAAGTAATCAATCCATCAATAATGTAATTAATTACATTACCTATTACAGAAATTTACTACATTTATTAATGTTCAGTACTACTGTATAGTTATATTTAAAGATCATGTGGAATCCCTCATCAGACACATGATTCAGAAAATGGACTAGAAAGCAACAGATAACAAACAGACACCATAAATACTTAATCATAAAATAGTAACACAATATAAAACATCAATACTTAAATATGTCAGTTAGCCAATAATTCTACTACTGCATATTCCTTTCATCCTGTATTGTAATTAAGAATGACAATCTATTGTATTATTTCAATCACCATTTACTTGGTATAAAGCTAGTATGCTACATTAACTTGAGTCACTGAAGCTGTGGAATTTTACTTCCAATCACTATTGTCAGAAGCATAGGGACAGATGTTGGATTCATGAGACCTCCATCAATATAACCTAGTCATCAAAATGTCAAGACCACAACATGTATGCTAATAATGGATGACCAGCATTTTTTATCTTTTC